AGGAAAGTGAGGTACGTATATTAAATTACAGATGCTACTAACTACATAAAAAACAGCTAATACGGAGTGATTGATTGTCAGAATATGAAGAGGAAGCTGATAAACATTTTACCTGCTGCTTGTTGTAATTATTTTGACAAGCTAAATAGTAAACATCCAGTTACTATTTTTATTCTTTGAAACCAGACAAATGAGCTTCGAAACCAGACAAATGAGTCAATTTTGTATCTGTAATTATACTTTATAATTATAATAAGTTGTAATTTTATTTTTGACAGTCATTATTGATTGTTGAGAAGTAAGAGAGACCATGTACAAGTGCTATTTACTCGACAAAGCCCAAAAAAGCCAAAAATATTGCAGACTGCATTTTCATATAACCTTTATCTTTTGAAAAGCTATGCATCTATTCTCAAACACATGAAAACATTCTAATATGAACTAATTAAACCTTCTTCATGTGAATTGGAGTTGGTGTATTCATTCTACCTGTCGGATCTCCTTCCCTTTGTGCCTTTTGTCCTTGTTCCTGAGCTGCTCATATGTTTGGGGATTCTTGAGCGCTTCTTGTTTTCTTTTCCGCTGTCACACTCACTCTCCGACGTACGATCTGTGTCCCTCTTGGGTACCCGTACCATCACCACAGCAGGAGTACTGATGCTGCTGCTGAGTTTGTCTCGTATAGGACCCTGCAGCACAAAGATGGTGCTGGAATTGGAATTTTGTTGTATCACACTTTAATAAATACACTATAAGAACAGAATATAATTTAACATTTTTGTTCACCATCATAAGAAAATATCTAATGGGTTTATGATAGGAACCCCAAATCTGTGCTGACACAGACATGTTGTTGACAATATCCTTATTTTGAACTTCTTGGTGGCATTTTGAGTACTTTTGACCATTAAACAATATTATATATTATATATATTTTATAATGTTTTGTTTTTAATTGTTATGGCAATGGTGACAATTGTTCCTTGTTCTGAGCCATAGGCAGAATACATTCACAAATACCTTTCAAACTGAGTTGTATTTATTTATTCCTGGCATTATCAGAGAGGGTTCATAATGAATATGTCAGGAGCCCAGTTTTCTAAGCGCAATAAACTCTGTTCAGGGTGAAGGAACTTCACTCAATGAAATCAAAAAAGAAAAGTTTTAGTCCATTCATTGCCATTAAAGACAGCCTGTCTGGGCACTATATGTTTGGGTAAAAATGGCAAGAAACCACCTCTTTGCAAGAAGTCCACCTAAAAGTGTATTTTTTATGCATTTCCATTTTATACTAGTCCGCCATTCTTATTACAGTCATGTTAAAAGTAATCACCTGAATGAGCAGAGACACCTGACGCTCGAGTTTCCGGAGGCGTTCTTCATTATGAGGGTCTGGTGGATCGGCTGCAGTGGAAACTGCAGGGGCCTTGTCCTTTTGATCCAACTGTGGGGTGGTCTCTGCTAAAACTTCTGATGCAATCCGCTGACGAAACTGGTTCAACACCTCGTCAATGCGGGGAGTGTTAATATTACTTCCTTTGACCTGAAAAAGAACATCTTAAGTACTCTACATGTAATCTTAAAAGGCTTACGAAATAAATAAGTAAATTACAGCTTCATGGTGACTGGTATCAGATGAGAGAAACAGGTCCACATAATCTTCCAAACCAGGAATGTCTCGTTTATGCACACGAGGTTCACGTGGGTTTCCCAAATGGTCTAAACCATCCAGGACATAAATCTGAGGCAGTGACTGAAAGACTATCTCCCTGTAACCTGCAATAAAGGGAAATTCATATTGTATTTAATTCATATTATTATTTTTTTTTTTAGCTCTTGCACATTTGTATATAAAAATATATTGTTGGCAAGTACAAGGAATAGTAAATGCATGAAAAAAATAAAAAATAAAAAATGCATGTGTGGAGTACAGACACTTTGTGACAAAAATTTAAAAAAATGGTAAGCAGAAAAAATACTCAATGACACTGCAGTGTTTTGAACTTAGATAGCAATTCTGAAATACTTTTAAAAAATATGTCAACTGTAAAAAATAAAATAAAATTAATAGTAATAACTTCCTGTCACATATTTTTAAGTTTTACCAGGGGATGTGCAGAGTGGATTGTCTGCTCCATCTTTGTACAAAATAACTTCTTTTAAGCTGTGCAATCCCAGCAGGCATTGCAAAAGGTGATCGATGCTGTCCAGCTGGTTGCCATGGAGGCTAAGATGGTTAAGCTTGTACTGCGGGCCGTGGAGATACAACAACCCTATTACAGAAGGACAATAAGATCCATCAACATCAGTGTGATACCGGTGGCACTATCAAAAATACACAAGCCTTACCTGTGAGGTTATTAATCTGATTATAGGACAGGTTTAATCTTGTTAGGTTCACAAGGCCATTCAGTCCTGAGAGAGGCGGGACAAAGGAGTGATTTTACAGCTCATAAAACACTCGTAGAACTTTAGACCAAACGGAAGACAGATATAAATTACTTGAGGAACTCCCCCTGTACTAGATCATCCATCATACAACTGAGAAGGTAATTAAAACACACACCTTCGACCTTGGTGATTAAGTTGCAGGATAAATTCAAAGTTCTCAGAGAAGTGAGCGAGCTCAAGCCCTCAATGTGAGAGATGCAGTTGGAGGAGAGGTCCAGATGACGCAGGTGCCACGCATTGGTGAGGCCTTCAATTCGTGAGATGTTGTTACAGTGAAGATTCAGGGAGGTAACAGTAGAGACGAGCTGGACTTCTAGTAAACTGTGACAATTAATGAATGAATGAGGGAAGTGGTATGATCAAGAGGGACTTCAAACTGACTGTGTAGACGAAATAATGCATATTTTGACATAGTTTAAGATGATGGTAAACCAATATAACTTACAATTAGTATGAAAAGAGTTATTTTCTATTGGAATTTAATAGAAAACTGAGAGAATTATACGGTGCTCTACAACACTATTAAAAGCAGCACAAACGTATATAGCTCAGTTTCAATAGATATTGAAAACATAGCGTTACTACATATTTATAGGCACTGTAAACTTTGAGTGTGTTACCTTTTTATCTTCTTGTCGATGAGGCATAGTTCAGTGTCTCCCATAATGAAAATATAGAAGTATCTCCAAGTTTGAATCAAGTTTAATAAAGTGTCTGACTTTGTAAAGCTACCATATATAGCTATATGTAACTGCAATATGTAATGCTGAGATCATCTGCAATGTTAACGCAAAAATAAACCAAATCTGAGAAATAGTACCTGGTTAGCTGTTACTACAACAAGACGACGCAAAGAGGTTAGCTTTTTCTGGCTTCGACTGCGAAACATTGTCCATTACAATTACGACAAATAGATCAAACCAACTAAAGGCTTGCTAATAGTAACTTTGACACACGGTATATGCAGTAATCTACTTGTGACTAGCCATATCATAACCTTTATTTTGTTTCAATACTTTTTTGTCGTTTAGCTTCTTGAAAACACCGCTTCGAGAGTTTTACTTCCTGTTTACATGACGTTCACAACTCCAACTTCCGGCAAATGCTCGTTAGCTCCGCCCACTTTAAACTTTTTGAAATCATGCTTTGAAATAAATCTGTATAAAATCTTTTCTCTTCTTAGGTAGACTACACACATTAATTAATTGTAAAGTTTAATGAAAAAAACATAAGTTTGTTTGAGAATTTTATAGCATTTCTTCATGATAAAGTTTAAACAGATGTGCGACGTACCCATCAAATGTTTAGGCATGTCTGAATTAAAAAAAATAAAACGTTTTAGTACATAGTAGCCTAGTAGCAGTAGTGGTAGTAAGAGCAGCAGTAATATTGCCAGCTTCAACAGTAGGCCAGTGTGTAATGTGCATGAAATAAGCATATGTAATCACAGGTGTACTTTAAAGATCCTGGCCTCCATTAAACTACTAATTGCTTCTGCTGGTCGCAACAGGCCTTTGATTGATTCCTCTCTTCACACACTCAACGCTGTCCACATTAGGAGTGCCGGTTGACTGATCATAGTACCCATTGGCCACTATCCAGCCGTGATAGACTCAATTATCCCTGTAACCCCGCCAGTGGCCCTCCTTAACCTGTGAAAATGATGATCTAGTGTAAATGGAGTCAGTGAATTAGTAATGCCATCTGTTGCTGCAGCGGTGCAACACATGCATTTTTCATCGGTCAGTGATTTGTATTTTCAATTGCACAGTAGAATAGATGGATATTCTTGTACCTGTAATAATAAAAGGTGTATGTGATAATTAAATACAAGAGGAGGGGGGGTTCTCCTGGCTGCATTCATTTGGTTGAGAAGTGCATATAAGAAAGTCAATAAGGACATTTCAAGTTGGTCCATTTGGGACTATTAAATGCTTCTAGTGTAATAAATACAGTATACTGCTGCTACTGCAGCAATTAGTAGTGTGACAATTAGTGTTACAAATAGTTCTGAACACTGACATCAACAAATATTTCATACTTAATATATAAATATTTTAAGATTAGGCTATTTCAGTAAGATTTTCATAAGAATTTGCAAAGTAAGTGCTATAGACTTCTTACTTTCTATATCTAATATAGGTCTTTTCATGTAAGTGATAAAATAAATTATATTATTCAGATGGGATGCAAAGAGTTATGTCTATCATTATGGGTATTTTTGCATGCGTTCCAATGGAAGAATGAATACAGTTAACAGGAAACCCGTTTATTTGAAAAACTCTGTACATCGGATGCAGTGAATACTAATGGAACAAATGGGTCATTTTTTCACATGCTTGTTATTAAAATCATTTTCATAAATTCCAAACAGAAATAAACTAAATGCATTTATGATTTATAAGAGAAACACAAAGGCACACATCAATTGAATATTTCATATTGTGGAAAAAATTGCTTTTGTTTAATATAAAGATAGGAATGAATGTATTAAATGCTTGAGCACAGCACAGACAGTGAAATATTTAAATCTTTTATAGCAGCTATAATGTATGTTCAATGTAAAGAAGGTCTCAAATGGTGGTCATCTGGAGAACAGTTTTTGGACTGAAGGGGTTTCAGCTCCCATCCAGAAGACATTTTCAATTTGATGGTAGGCTTGAGACAGTAGGATTTTTACTGGACCACTCCTGGATGAATGAGGGGTTACATAGTCTTATTTGTAGTTGAGAGATGAAATAGTTATATTTTCAACAGCATTCTGGTAATTGTTGTGTGCCTTGAACTGAATACACGATAACACAAATTTTGAATAAATTACATTTTCCAAGATAAATAAATTGTAAAGTGTAAACACTTCCTACATTCAAATGAACAGCAGTCTCTCTCAGAGTTTTTAATGCACATAAATAATAAATACATCCACAATGACAAATGTCATGGCTGACTTACATTTTCATCACTGTTACTGTTACAGATCATCAGAGATTATATTAAGCACACAAAATAAAGTCCTTGTTTTTCTGAGAGGAAATAACTCCAGGGATTATTGATTGCTTTTTGCAGTTATTGTGAATATTCATAAGCCGGCATTTTCAGAAAGTCCACATCAGAGTTGTAACAAGACAAGACTGAAACCTCTCCTCTTCTGCTGGCTCTTAACAATTCACTGTGTTTCTGTCACATCCAGAGGCTTTGCTGGTGTCTTCATTTAGACGTCTTTATTTCTGTCTCTGAAAAGAAAAAAGTGTCAGTCCAGAGGGAATCTGCATCATTATTACAGCTTACATTTACGGCTTCTGAGACTGGCTGACAGGTGAAAACTACTCTGGGGACATCTCACAACAAAATAAGCAATGCATGGCTAAGAAAATGGAGATTATTACTAGTACTGCAAAGGTTATAGCACATAAGACACCCCTAAAACATCACCATTTGTACAGAAACAACAAACACATCAGATTTAAGACTAACACTATATGCCAGGGCTGGGCTATATCATTCATGACATCTTGTTGTATACTTTGGGGGTGATATAAAATTTTAATATTGTGATATAATTTGCATCCACACTGAAGCCACTGCTGACACTCAGAGTGAGAGTGGAGTGGAAACTTTTTTTTTCCAACAACAATTTAAACTCCCCAAAACAAGTTAGCACATTGTTTGATAATGTCATCAAAAAAGAAATAGTTAAAAGGTAAATTCACAAATGTTGAACCTGATTTTTATTATTGGATTATTGACTAATACAACAGAAAACTGCATTTTGACAATATTCATTCTCCTAGCTGTATGATTATGATTATTATTATTATCATTGACCAACAGGATAAAAACCTGAATATGTCTAGCAAAAGTTATATTGTCAATTACATAATTAAGGTAAGATTTAGTAGCCTACAATTTATTGTCTCCGTAGGGACAGTTGCCCTCTGCATTATACCCATCCTTGATGTATGGTTGTCTCTTGTTGTTCTTTGTGATATACATTTTAGGTGACTTCTCTCTGCCCCAGTAAATTTACATATTTAATCAAATATAGTAAATAATTCAAGTGTTGATCTATAGCCTCATAATATAACATGTCACTACCAGAGAGAGAGCTAGCGAACAGTGAGACGAGATGCCAGCCAAGAGGCAAATGAAATCTCAAAGCCATTTGTTCAAACGCAGTCGGAGCAGATTTGGAAGTGGTTAGATGAAATAGTCCAATCTGGGCTCAGACAGGCGTCACAGAAAACTGCAGTGTGCCTGAGCGCTGCAGACCAATGACAGGCCATGGAGATGAACAGGAGGTAATCATAAGCTTTTTAGTCCATCTCCATACACTTACACTGAAGAATAAGCTACTATTTTTCTGAATAGAGTTGGGTAGCACTAGCATTCTCAAAGTTCTATGGAAAAAAACATACAAAGATACACACAAAACCAAAGGAAATTCCTATTTGTTGTAATTTCTATAACAACATTGAGGAAATAATATATTGATGGGTTTCAGACTGGTGAATCATTAGCACTGTTGCCATAGCAATTAACAATTCAAAACAAAAATATGACATCTTCTGAATGTTGAAAAGTACTCAAAATGGCGGCAATAAATCTGAAAGAAAGCGGAAACCCATCAAAAGGAATAACATAATTGAATACTGACCTCTCTCAGTTGTCAATGTCTGATATGTGGTTCTCAATCTGCCAACAAATAGAAACACAAATTAATAATGTATTTAATCACCAATCTCACTATCTTGTATAGAATAGAGGACAACAATTAAAGTCAACTAAAACAATATGAAAGTTTAAATACACATAAGATTTAGTATGGTACTGTGATTTGTTTTTGTATTAAATGGTCCACTATTCTTATTATCTTTACAAACCCACACAGTCAAATCTGCATAATAAGAGTGCATGAAGCCCATCTGAATACATAACAAAGTCCTCCTGTATCCTTTATTACCTCCCACTCCTCACTAGTCCTGTCACGATACTAAAACTCCAAACTTAAAGAGCCCATACTACGCAATTATCTGATCTTTTTTATAATGTTGTTTTCTCATCAGAAATATACCTAGAATTGTGTTTTGTTTCAATCACATATGTTTAACATACAAATCCTCCATATTTTGGTTTCTGTTTGAGTTCTTCTCTAAAACAGAAAAGGCTCTTTTCCACCTTGTGATGTCATCTGGTATTACAGGAAATGCTCCACTGTGTTTTTAAACTCCATAATCCTTCACTAGAATCATTTGGATAATTTCAGCTCTAGAATTGCCAATCTCTTTTGAAATAAAGATAAGGTAGTTACCCAAATATTATCATGTGGTCTTATACTTGTTCTGATATAAATCTAAACCATTAAAAACTACCCAGGAAAAGTTATTATTATTATTTTTTTTCTAGTATCAATACTTGTTCTAGTTTTGACACTAGTTTTTGTATCAATCAGTATGTGGCCTGGGTATTGATTTTTTTTAACAACCCTACACTGCACTCCATCAGACTTCGTAATGGCCCTTCTTACCAGGTCTCTGTTGCCTTCGTCTTCATCGTAGTCTTCCTCTGCTCCGTCCGTCATGTCCCCTCCCTCCCCCTGCACCTCGCCCGCCTCCCCCTCCTCTGCTCCAGAATGGTCCGCTGCGTCGCCATGGAGACACTCGCACACTTCCTCCTGCTTCCTCTGCATCATCTCTGCAAACAGCATGACACATTGATATACACTGTTATCATCTGAGAGTGAGTATGGATTTCATTTTACACACAGATAAGCCTGGATGGACACACTGACTATTCATATTCCTATGGGAGCTCCACACGTGCCATGGAATATTTTTTTAGTAGACAACAACATCCATATACAACCAGAGGCCAAATTATATAAAAGCGTAATTCAAAGAGCTGTGGAACCTTTAATTGCCAGGTCACTTCACTTCCATTTATTTAACACACATCATCATATTGTCCAAGTACTTTTGAGTGAATGACAATTTGACTCTCTCTCTCTCTCTCTCTCTCTCTCTCTCTCTCTCTCTCTCTCTCTCTCTCTCTCTCTCTCTCTCTCTCTCTCTCTCTCTCTCTCTCTCTCTCTCTCTCTCTCTATATATATATATATATATATATATATAATATATATATATATATAGGGAAAGCTGGCAGGGAAAGCATACATGGAGCGACATAACCAAGTTGCGGGCATAGTGTACAGAAACATCTGTGCAGAGTACGGGCTGGAGACCCCAGGATCAAGGTGGGAAACACCTCCAAAGGTTGTGGAGAATGACCGAGCCAAGATCCTGTGGGACTTCCAGATACAGACTGACAGAATGGTGATGGCGAACCAACCAGACATAGTGGTGGTGGATAAGAAACAGAGCAGAGCCGTGGTGGTTGACATCGCAATACCAAGCGATGGTAATATCAGGAAAAAGGAACACGAGAAGCTAGAGAAATACCAGGGGCTCAAGGAAGAGCTGGAGAGAGCCTGGAAAGTAAAGGCATCAGTGGTGCCTGTGGTGATCGGACACTCGGGGCTGTAACCCCCAAACTGGAAGAGTGGCTACAACAGATACCGGGAAAAACAATGGACATCTCAGTCCAGAAAAGTGCAGTACTGGGAACAGCAAAGATACTGCGCAGAACTCTCAAGCTCCCAGGCCTCTGGTAGAGGACCCGAGCTCAATGAAGGTGAGAGAGACCTACCACCGTGGAAGGTGAGAAACACATTTTTTATTTTATTTTTTTTATATATATGTGTGTGTGTGTGTGTGTGTGTGTACTATATATACATCTATATATAAAGCTGACAGTTGTCTTTCATTAAACTTGATTGGGCATTTATATGTAGAGAAACAACAAACAGAAATAACTTTTACCCAATAAAGATGGCACTTACAGTATAATGGTTGCCAGTTTGCCAAAGATTGAACAAAATGAAAAAATGAGTAATGGTCTCCTTTATTAATCTTGCAGTGTAAGATGGGTTGTTTTATTTTGCTTTTAACTGAGTTTTGCATAAACTGACAGCACAAAGCAAAAACAATGTAACATTTTCTTTTATTTGGTTTTGCTAGTTTTATTGTTTTTGGACTATGATCAAATTTTACATTTATATCCTTGGTTGTTGTCTTTTTTAGTCTCTGTCTCTGTGCAGCACTTTAGAATCTGCTTTGTTTGTGAAGCGTGCTACATATATATAATATAAATAAATACAGATTTGGATTTGGGCAAAAGTGAGACTCATTTATGTTGCATGCTGTGCATATTCAAGTTAGGGACGCACCAATCCAGCTTTTTCAGTTCCAATACTCAGTTCAGTATTATAGCTTTATTTACCAATACCCAATATCAGTCGACACCAGATCAGAAACTTGAAAATGGCATTTATTTCCTTTAAAAGGAAATAAGAAAAACTGATCCAGATATGTTATGTAGTTGTGATATTTCTCTCAAGTAACAGAAACTTTGTATTAAAAAAAATTACCAGAACTACAAGCAGAACTGCAGTTTTTTTGGTGCATCCTTATTAATTCAAGTCAGTCAACTATCACTACTTATAACTAGACATGTTTGACTGGCAAGATGGGTTTTCCTAGCTTTCTGTAGTTCATATATTATTTTGTACTCATTCTCTTGTTAAAAGGTGCACTTTATTAAAAAAGGGAATTCATGATTTACTACATGCACTCCTTAATTAATATGCAGAAGTACTCAGGCAATTAATGCATACATTGCAGGAGGATGATGGATATTGTGATAATTGGACAAAAAGGTAATGCAAATGAATGAATCAACATTGTAAATGTACTCTGTGTTCACAGTTAATAGAACAGCCTGTGTAGAGAAAGTCAGCCTCAGAAGACTACAGCAGCACCATTTTAACATTCATTAGATTATGTTATTTTTACCACACACCATTTTCTTCTGTTCCCTTTTGTTCTCTGCTCTTACAGACAGATAGAAAGCTTTCATTACAGCATCTCATCGAACCTCTCTCCTCTTCTCTCCATTTGTTACATGCATGCAGTAAACATGCACATAATACGTTTAATTATAACTCACCAACGTCAGACCACTGCTGCCTCTCAATCTTCTCCAGTCGGCCCAGCAGAGAGTCAATCCTGGTTTTGATTTGAGACAGCTCCTTTTTTATTGTTACGAGTTGGTCAGATTTCACTGGAAACAAAAAACATAAATTACATGGTCAGTCTGTCTTGAGAGGGTAAATGGGTCAGTGGTTGCTTGAAATGAGGTGTTTTGAATTAGGCTTCGAAGAAATATTGATTTACAGTTTCTAATACAAATGTGGCAAGTGCAATTATTTAAGACTCGAGATCAGTTCACGCTGTGCATTTTAACACACTGAAGTATGGCCTGCTAAAACAACACAGGAATCACATACTGGACTTTGTATTGGCTAAAAAAACAGTTGAAGATGACCATTCTTGTATTATAATAACTTAATTGTGATAAAGTAAAAAAAATATTATATACCAATGTATACAAAAATAAACATTTTGCATACATTCGTTTCAGTGGTGTTTCATTATATGCCATGATGAAGATACTACCTGTGTCAAACGCATCCCATGTAACTTTTATAATAAGTAAGTTTTTATTCTACAAGCATGGTCATCTTCACTGTTTGTGAAAGCTGTGCCGCTTTCACAAACAGCCTTGTCCTTGAGAAGCATGTCTTATGAACATTTAACAAAGAAAAAAATCCTGTGAAGCTCTCACTCCTTCAGTGTTTAAAAAACCCCAATATTGGATCATTCAGTATCAGTACCTATTTTTTTTCAAATTTTTATAACAAAGCACACAGGATTTTTGAGATAAGTATTAAATATATATGTATGTATGTGTATATATATATATGTATATATTGTTAGAGAATTTTTATGTTATAAGCATTTCTCATGTAAAGGCAATCATGATGTAGTATAAGTTATCAACATTGGCTTTTTGTTTTACTTGTTTTGTTGTGTTCAAGCTGTATCAGGTGATCTTGCTGATGCATTGGCTGACTCATTAAAGATAATGTACCGGGAGAAACAAATAGTAATGGCAAACATCATGAGGTTAACACAGAACTCTGGGGAATTGCTAGAGGCTATCTACCACCTGGAATGGGAAACCTGTGTATAATGGGGGGCTGTGTCAGTGGAAGCTTGTCAGTCATGAGACAACATGTGAACAATAGGTACTGTATTCAAAGTAACCTACTGTATGCTAATTGTGTGCTCTACAATAAAAGGCCGATGGAGAGAAGAGAGCTTCAGTTAGGATGAGACAGGCAGCTCTCTCCTACTCCTTGCGACAGGCAGAGCTCTCTCTTACTCCTTGCGCAAGTAAAACCAACCACTGTGTCCCTGGCGTGTTCTTTAATATTTGAGGTCGGGGTCAATTCCCTGACATATATATATATATATATATATATATATATATATATATATATATCTGCTGTCATGCGATTAAAAGAGAGATTAGAGATTAATTAATTATGATCTAATTAATCTCTTTTTAATCTCACCTAAAAATTGCTGAGAAAAGCCTTCAATTTGAGGTATTTTCATTTAAATTCATTATTACATTATTGTGGCAGATCAAAAGACTGATATAGAACCAAAACATGACTTTATAAAGTAATTTATTGTTTAACAAACTTTAACAGATGCAGTCACTTACGTTCCACAGTATCATCATTATTATTACTATTACTAATCTGCACTGTTGGGAAGGTTACTTTTAAAATGTATTCCCCTACAGATTACAGATTACATATCCCAAAATGTAGTTTGTAACTTAATCCATTTAATTACTTAAAGTGAGTAACGTAATTTGAATACTTTGGATTACTTGATATTGTCATGCTTTTTAAAACTACATGAATGTAGCAACCACATCCTGCAAATGTCGTTCTTGTTTGTTCTCTTCAAATTGGCTGTTGAGCCCAAGTCTCCATGAATAAGAAACTGTTTGCTGTAAAGTAGCAAAGACTAGGAAATCTGAACATAATAACTTTTGTCTACTTAAAGACAATAAAAAGTAGAGTCTTTCCTTAACCATATAAAAAATATTATTGATAGAGAAATGCTTTATATATGAGATCACTGGTTTTAGTCCTGGTTATATATACACACACACACACACACACACACACACACATATATATATATATATATATATATATATATATATATATATAATATATATATATATATATATATATATATATATATATATATATATATATATATATATATATATATATATATATAATATATTATAAATATTTCTTATTTATCAAAATAGAATAATTAAAAGACTGTCGCTGACTTGAATAGATCATGTATCATGAATGGAAGTTGATTACATAATTCAATGTGGGCTAGGTGAATAATGCAGTTAAAGAGTGATTATTTATATCTAGGTATATTTTGACACCTATATATAATTAAACCTTAAACTGTTCAAATCGCTGTGGAGTAACATACGCCTGGGTCCGTGGGCAGAGGAGATATTGTTGAACTGTCGCGATGAAGAGCAAGAGGAGGAAGAGGAGGAGGAGCAGGCTCTGATGGAGAACGAGGACTTGGGTCTCCGGGATGGGACGATGACACGAGAGCGTTTAATTGGGATCACAGCTCTGGAGGGGGGCACCACCCGTCCATGGTACTCAAACAGTCTGAGGACAATAGAAGAGCATTGTTAATTCAGCTAAACAAAAATGCATTACCTGAAAAAAATGTGCCAGTTGGTTGTCAAGTTCCCTATTTATGGGCAGGGTTTTGACACAAATCAAGCAACATCTTGTTTTAGGATGTTAGATGAAAAATTACTTACACAATACAGATAGAAATACCATCTGTACTATCTGTAAGTCACTTTACAATTGTGTGCATCATTCATTTATTCCACACTCAGTGGTGGTAAGCTTCTATTGTAGCCACAGCTGCCCTGGGGCAGACTGACAGAAGTGAGGCTGCCATTCTGTAATGTCTGTCCCTACGACCACCAACAATCACTCATACACCACCTTGACACATGGACAGAGTGGGTGAAATGTGTTGCCTAGGGACACAACAATAGAATGCATTAAGTCACTGCTGCCCCTCTACAACACCTGGTATATTCTTCAATCTAAGTACTAACCAGACCCATTCCCACTTAGCTTCCAGATCAGCTGAAATTGGATTTTCTCAATATAATGTACCTTGTAGCATTTACAATAGTCACAAATTAAATACAATAGTTACAATTAGCTACATATCATTGTTTGCCAAACATAACTTCTCATTTATTGTGCCAAAGCAGGATTTGGATACTGTTTCAATGATAGTATACAAAATAGAAAACCCAAAATAGACCAGTTACATCATTTCCAAGTCTCTATAAATGCTTTAAAGGTTACATTACACCAAACTGACTGTATGTCATAAACATACCCTGCGTTGTGCTTTGTTTCAATCTTGAGTAATTTTTTATTATTAGTCAGTCTACATCTCCAAACTACGGCAAAGCTAAAAATGCACTGTTCAACCTTATGATGTCATGTAGTGGTAGGCTTCAAGCCAATAGCCACCGTTTACTTTTAGCTCAAGATTGACAATTCGAGGGCTCTACTTATCTACATAATTCCAGCCAAGGTGTATGGAGTTTAAAAACACAGTGGAGCACTTCCTGTATCACCACATGACATCATGAAGTGGTATCATGAGGAGTATTTTCAGTATGAAAGAAGAACTCAGCCTAAATATGTTGAATACAGTTTGTGTGTTAAACTAGTGAATGAAACAGAACACAACTCCAGGTAGTTTTGGTGAGGCAACATCATTATAACATAGATCATAAACAGCGTAATATGGGCCCTTTATCAAATCAATTATAAATATATTTTTATCTGACAAACATCACTGAGTCAAATATATCAAAAATCCTCTGTAAATCCCTAAATTCTATAAGCACATCCATCGATTGAAAGCAGATGATTTAATTTCTTGAGATAACCGCAGAGGAGAAGTAAACAAACCAATGAAACCGTCAAGAGGAAGACACATTCACAGTGGATCTTTCCCAAATGACCGGCCGCGGGACTATGTGACATTACCACCGAGATAAGAGTGCCATTATAGAGCGCAATGGAGAAGAATGAAGCCTCCCAAATATGACGTTTAATACCCCTGTGATAATATGATTCAGAATGAGCCAATTCTGTACGGCTTTTATCTAAATAGCTGCTCTCCGAAACAGCAGGAGGCAGGAGATAGGAGGAACGTGATTTTACAGTGTAGGATGTTTGATACTTAAAATGTAAAGTATATGATGTGATATAGTGATGATATATGAGAGTGGCCATGTCAGAATGAATTGGTTAATGGATAATTATAGTTACATAATCATATGTCTTTATCAGGCTGTTTATATCATATTAAAAGGTACAGTATGTAATTTTCTGGAAGTGTCACATTAACTGCATGATGCCCATACTTTATGATACATTTTAATCCATACTGTGGAAGATTATAGCCAACGGAACAACATTTCCATGGAAACAAGCAGGAAGAGGCTCTGCTCGAAGTCTGGTTTATGGAGAAACTAAAATTAAAAACATTCTCTCTTAAAGTGTAATGTGGCTTTAACATAACCTTTTCGTAAAGTTTTTAAAGCTGGACTTGAAATACTATTAGATAGTGTGAAAAGATATTGTAAGAGGAAGCACTGCAACTATACAATTGAGCCCATAAAGAAACCACAGCGAACTCCATTTACTTAAGTTCACACACACACTTGTCCTCTCATATACAGTAAGAAGAACAAAAGCCATTCTTATTGTCTCGTCACTCCCTTCAAACATTAATGTATGCACTCCTTTCCCCATCAAGTCAAAATGTCTAATCCCTTTTACTGTTTGTACTGTCTCTAATATCACAATAAAAAAAAAGAAGTAAATGGCTTTCATATGGTTTCATTATGGGGCCAATTGTGCGACTGCAGTGCTTCCTGTCACAATAATGGTGACACTAAAATTGGACATTGGTGAGACAATGACACGAATAATACATACCTATAGAAGTCATCTCTGTAGTAGTCGTAGTCAAACTCATAGCCACTGGAAGAAAGCAAAGAAGTATTTACCTTATGAAGAGAAAGCACCACATTATGTGACTACATTCTGAAAATGAAAACTTCCTCAGTATGAGGATGAGGAGGTCCATAGAGCAGCAGTCCTCTTTTTCCATTATTCTGAATCCTATGGATAGCTGTAGGCTACTTTCTGCCAACTTGCCAAGTGTTTCACAGCGTCACTACTTAAAGATGCACTATGCAACTTTTCTGGTTGAGGGTCTTACTTTGACAGTATGGCATTACATTTATCTCAAGCAGATGAGACAAGTGGGTGACAGCAATAGGCTCACTGACAAGTCAAATCTGCGGAGAGGCCAGCCACTCAGAGTACAAATTTATATTTTCTATTTTTGAGCAATAAAAACACCCTTAATTGAAAAAAATGCTAGATGTATGTTATGTATAGATATGTATAGATGTATATCCATGTTATAATGCTAGGTGTGATATTTTATTCAGCAACAAGTGTTTCATCTATCATGTAGGGGACCTTTTTATTTTAACTGTGAATTTGTTGTGTGCTGAAAAATGTTAGGTCACTTTCTTGAGTGCATTCAATTGTGAAAATGTTCCCCAACAAATTGGAATCAGGTGGGGAATTGCCTGTTGCTCAAAGTACGCTCTGGTAAATGAGTATTTTAAACAAGCAACAGAACATCTATGGTTGGAAAAGTGGGTCAGAAAACCAATCTCCAGCTGTTAAAGTGACTTTAAAGTGACTCAGAGAGATACAGACCTGTAGAGAGACGACAGTGGTCTTTTGGAGCCCAGCTTTGGTCGGTACGGCTTCGGCTCCCCTGCCATGTTGATATCTGATGAAGAAGAGTAAACAATTATTCATGTATTCAATAACTGAATTACTTTTTCAATAACTGTTAAAATACCATCAAAAACAAGCATTCCCTGACTGAGAATAAACCAGCTGTAAAATGTGCATTTTGTAATAACTCTGCTAAATGAATGCAGTCCACTTTCTGCTGTTTAATTGAGTTTAATTGTTGTAAAGTGATGTTGAAACTGTTGAATGTACAGTTTTACATCTACACTGTATTTTGTATGCAGTACAGTTTCCCCATTCTGGAACAAATTGGGAAAATATTCTCTTTATCTTTGACTCCTCCCACAAAGGACTACAGATAGAAGAGCAAAAGAGTATATTTGAAGCTACAGTCTGAAACTAGCATCTCTGCTTTAATCTTAATTGTCTTAATAAATAAACAAAACCTTAAAAGTTACATGGTACACCCCATTATACTGATACAAATGCCCACTCTCAACATAAAAATCACTGGGAGAGTGGCCAGATCCACTGACCCACAGTGCAATTCCAGCTCCAACAGATTAATACTCCTGTTGTGTCCTTGGGCAAGACACTTAACCTACCTCACCCCCAGTGTCTGGTTATGAATGCGTGTGAATGGGTGAGTGGTTCCTTGATGTAAAGTGCTTTGAGAGCCTTGAAAGGTAAAAAGAAGCACTATAGAAATGTGAAAAAGTACATTCTTTTCATTCAATACCAACATCACAGGTTCAAAGGTTCAACTCCAAAAACTTAAAAAGCTGTCTTGATAATCCCATTGTAAGACATGGGACTGTCTTCATGAGTAGGAAAAGTATACTGCCAATGCTTAGATTCAGTTTGATTTTTTTCCTCTTTGTGTTCTCTTCACCAAAAAAGTCCTCATGTTTTTTGTAGCTCTGGCAGCACCAGGGAGTGAAGACTGACAGTAAATTATAACAGAATTTATCACAAAAGCACATTTACCTCAAGGCTAGACAGGATATATGAGCAAAAATGTCTCAAGTGGATTTCTGAAGAAGCTTTAACATTTTTTCGAAAGCCTTTTTTGATCTTCATTACTGACAGAGTGAGTCATCCTGACAAGCATCACGACTTGTTTTGATTGACAGCTCATCCACCTGCCAAAGCCTGTGAGCTACAGCCCCAAACTGCAGCGCTATCTCTGCATTCAGTGTGCCTGTCATCTGCAGCCCCAAACAGGGAATTTAGAGCCATTCAAGGTCATGTGGGAATGAAATGCAAAATAATCCTAAACAACTCCTGGAGGGGTTAAAATGAGGACTATGAGAGATAAGTGGTGGAAAATTGTAGTTTAGATACACTATATAGGGGAAGTACAAACAATATACAACATACACAGTACAGAACATACAAAGAACAATAGTACAAAGCACACACAAGACATGACAGTACAATACATAAGGCAAAATAGACAAAATCTGTCAAGACATTGTGATACATCACAGAAAGGTGAACTTAATCCTTTAGTTTTAGTGCAGGGGTCCCCAACTACAGGTCTGGTACAGAGAAAATATTATGTATAGTATTTTAGGGGTGTAACGATATCCAAATCTGATGATACGATATCATCACGGTATAAACCTCACAGTGTATTTATTGTAATATTGTGGGAAAGCTCACAATATGGTGGAGAGGCTCATGATTAGGGATGTAACGATATCCAAATCTCTCGGTACGATATTTTCACGATATGCATCTCATGGTACTAACAAAACTATTAATATGCTACTTTTTCCCTTTAAAATGTAAAACTGTTATTTCTTCTTGCAGTCTACAATGAAATGGAGCAAAGGATCATGGTCTATGTAGTTCCCTGTATCTTTATTTCTGTTTATTGCTGCATCATAACTCTTAATTTAAGCAAAGAGACTTGTAACTCGAAATATTGTGATGGCCCACGATATTATTATGAGAACTTTGACGAAATTATATCATGATATTTTGGTTATTGTTACATCCCTATTATATATACTCCTTTTATATTTACCATGAATTAACCTAAAGCAGCAGCAAATATGCATTTTAAAATTATTTTTTTTAGCTATGATTAAAAGTTACAAGCATTTTGTGCAACTGTTACTTGCCCCCTCCACCAGTTCCTTACTTGTACTTGTAGTAATGAAAAGACAATAAAGTGTAAAGTGGTTATAAAGTCGTGGCATCTTTGATTACTCATAAGCCATTCTTTAAGCTGTTTCTCCAGTGAGGTAACGGTGGTGCTGTCTCTGAGTGTTCCAGCCACTGCAGTCTTTCTTAGAGAACATATTCTGGGCCAAGGTGCACTTCCTACACTGCACTTCACAGTCCCCCTTCCTCGCTGTGCATCGAGTGCTGGTCTCACTGTTTCTTTTTTGATAAATTCCCCAAGAGGCGGTGGAGCAGAGCCATTTAGTATACGAGACAGCAGTTTTTAAACATTTTCAGATTTTAGAATACTATGTGTGCTACTACACTATGTGAAATGACAAAGGTGTTTGATCAAGTAGCAGTGACAACAGCAAATCACACTCTAAAACAATATGAGAAAAAATGATATAGATTAGTTTGAAGTTTTGCATGTTAAAATGAATTGTAATTGTGGCTTTTTAAATGTGTTTTCTGAACAAGAAGTTGGAGTCCAATAGGGCTGGAGGTCATTAAGAAGTTGCCGATATGATACATACCTCGATACAGTGCACTTTCAATTTGATGCGATATATTTCAAATCAGTTCGATACGGTTCAATAAAAAATAAATGATAAATCATAGCTGTGATACTACAAGTCTGTTAAACCACTTCTTGGGCGAAGTTCATATGAAACACTCTCATTTTAATCAAAACAGCAAATATGCCACATATGTTGCATAAACGTGTTTCCATCCACTAATTAAACAAAAAAACTGTAGAGCTGTAACAAAATAAATTAGTCAAATATACCAAAAAATGCTCTTGGCGATATATCAATACAGCAGCCCACGATATCAATAAGGTATCATAACATTAAGCAATACGATATATCAATATTTCGATATTTTTGCACATCCCTAGAGTCCAATGCAACTATGAGATATCTGAAATGAATCACCAACTCATACCAGTTATTCTAGCACCTTGTACATCCACTCCACTGTATTAAAATGTAACGTGCTCCCTCTCTCTCCACTCTTTCCTTGTTGCTCTAATGGGCCACTGGAGCTGTGATGGTGTCTTCAGGTGCTCTGGGACAGCTGTATCATTATCATTAAGAAACCAGAAGGACTTGACAAATAGCCCTCTCCACTGTGGTCCCATACTCATTAAAAGGATACAGAGACACAGAGCTGACAAAACACACAGAATACATGAATAATTATAGAGATTACACAACTATCATTAGAGATGGGAAATTGGCTACAAGATCGTACCTAAAACTACTAGTGTTGTCATGATACTAAAATATCAATTCTAAATAGACTAGAATAGACCTGATACTCAGTACTGATGTTGATAAAACAATGATAACAAAAACTCTCTTTAGTTAGACAATAAAATATTAAATTGTGGTACTTTCTTTTATATTATCATGTTTAATCCCTTAGTCATCCAGGTATGTTCCATATTGGTCCATAAGCATATACTAGTCTAAGTGCTCTTATACTTGTTCTGATACAGCTCAAGATCATTCTAAAGTTATTCAGGAACGATTTATTTCTGTCCCGTTAATGTGACTTTTTAGTATCAGTGCCTGCTAAAATGAGTATTTAGTTTCGATTAGAGGGGGGACTTGCAAGTCGTGATTTAGACTCGAGTCAGACTTGAGTCACTATTTTTAGGACCGGATAAAATGGACTAAGACTTGGGACTTGACTTGGACTTTAATCCTCTGACTTGAGAAGACTTGATGCTTCTCCTAAAAAAATATGTTTTTAGAAAATACTTTTCTCTTTACAGTTGATAAATGCGGTACTGTGATATGGTATCCTCAAATGTACTACAGTAATACACAGTATTATACAGTAAAATGCAGTACAATACAGTAAAACAGATTGAAATACAGAGAACTACATGACAAAATAACTGTGATTTAGCACTTCTATTCTGACCTTAATGATTGATACTAAGACATTTAAAAAGGAAAAAATAGCATTTCTACAACTATTATATAAATACTCGTATATAAATATACTATATTGACTAAGTAAATTTTAGTTTAAAATTCATATAAATTGCAAAACTCTAACTTTGGTTTAAAGACTTGAAATAACTTGAAGCTCAAAGCAGACGACTTGGACTTGACTTGGACTTATGGGCCAGAGACTTGAGGCTCAACTTGGACTTGCCTGTATTTGACTTTGAACCTGACTTGAGGTCAAAGACTTGAGACTTACTTGAGACTCGCAAAACAATGACTTGGTCCCACGTCGATTCTTTTGACAACCCTACCCTAAAGCAAGATTATACCTCCAAAAATTATAAATGTAGAGTATCATAAAAAAATAAATACACATGAGTTAAATAAACATGAGTAGGTAGGATAGTGTCATAGGCAAACCACAGAAAATTTTTATCACAAAGCAAAGAAAATACACCTCATGAATATTGAGCCAAAAGATATAGACAGATAATGAATGATAAATTGACAGACAAATGTTTACAGCATTTACAGTGTTTCCCAACCAACTTTTCCAGTGGATACCTGGCAAACCAAACTTTCTACTGCCTTATAAGGTCAAAACATTGTAAGGTTATTGTAAGATGGTGACATAAGACAAGTGGAGAGATACGTCCGGGGACAGCGTTGCTAAGCAGTGGCCACTCACTGTTTGATTGATACAGTAAAGTGTGAGCTGTATGACATTTATAGAGTGTTCATAAGAGACACTCAGACACTACAGAAGACATAGGAAAAAGCCACGGGGAGAAAACAGAGGAAAGAATGTTGCCATTTTGTCCTCTTTAGTGCTCTACCAAGATTTTCTTTTTAGATTTTTTACACAAATTACTCTTGTGAGCTTCAAGCCATGCAATAA